GTTTTTAGTCGAGACACAGCAAGCAGGAGAAGGGGAAAAGAACTGGGGACCATCTGGGGATCATGCGTAAAAGGCCATTGTTTCGCTGTCTTATTTTCTTGTCGTGAGATCCTCTTCTTGTTTTCCCATCGTCTCTTCGGAGCTCACTCTACATCATATACTACACACAACTACCTTACCCATCAGTACCCTACTTCAGGCCACACACTCTTGGCTGGAGTACTATCAACACACAACATATATCTACCTCGACAAGGTCAAACAAACTCCATACGGCCTATGGATCACTCCGAAAGCCGTAAACCGAGTGCCGCCACCATGCCGGACTCGCACCACGACGCCATGAAGGAGGCACCGCCCGTCCACGCCATTAACTTTCGCGTCCTCGTCATGGGCCTCCTCGTCTCCATGGGCGGCTTCATCTTTGGCTACGAGGGCGGCGCCATCTCCGGCTACCTCCAGATGAACGACTTTATCAGCCGCTTCGGCGAGCACGGCGAGGCCCTCGGCAAGGTCCGCACCGGCTGCATGGTCGCCTTCCTCTGTGCCGGCTGCCTCATCGGCGCCCTCATCAGCGCACCCATCGCCGACAAGTACGGCCGCAAGTACAGCATCACCTTCTGGAACGTCATCTACATCGTCGGCAACATCGTCGCCATCACGGCCCGCACGACCTGGTACCAGGTGCCCCTGGCCCGTCTGGTCGGCGGCCTCGGCATCGGCGCCCTCTCCGTGCTGACGCCCATGTACCAGTCCGAGACGTCGCCGCGCCAGGTCCGCGCCATGCTCGTCAGCGCCTACCAGCTCTTCATCACCCTCGGCATCTTCACCGCCTACTGCATCAACTACGGCACCGAGTCCATCTCGGGCGCCGCCTCGTGGCGCATCACCATGGGCTGCGGCTTCATCGCCCCCGCCATCATGGGCCTCGGCGTCCTGACGCTGCGCGAGTCGCCGCGCTGGGACTTCCGCCACGGCCGCACCGACGAGGCCGAGACGACGCTGGCCCTCCTCTCGGGCGTCGACCGTGACCACCCTACCGTCCAGCACGAGATTCGCGACATCCGCAAGCAGCTCGCCGCCGAGCACGCCGAGCAGGCCTGGCACGAGGTCTTCACTGGCCCCGCCATGATGCGCCGCACCCTCCTCGGCATGACCCTGCAGGCCCTGCAGCAGCTCACGGGCGCCAACTTTTTCTTCTACTACGGCACCCAGATCTTCGCCGCCGTCGGCCTCAGCAACTCGTACGTCACGTCCATGATCCTCGGCGCCGTCAACTTTGCCTCGACCATTGTCGGCCTCTGGATCGGCCAGCGCTTCGGCCGCCGCCCCGCCCTCATCGTCGGCGGCGCCTGGATGTTCGGCTGCTTCCTCGTCTTCGCCTCGCTCGGCTCCTTCGCCCTCTACCCCGACAACAACCCGGCCGACCCCAACGCCCGCACCGACTCGGGCGCCGGCGGCGCCATGATCGCCTTTGCCTGCCTCTTCATCTTCGGCTTCGCCACCACCTGGGGCCCCCTCGTCTGGGCCATTGTCGGCGAGATGTTCCCCTCGCGCTACCGCGCCCGCAGCATGGCCCTCTGCACCGCCTCCAACTGGCTCTGGAACTTCCTCATCTCCTTCTTCACGCCCTTCATCACCGACGCCATCCACTACAAGTACGGCTACGTCTTTGCCGCCTGCTGCGGCGCCGGCGCCATCATCACCTACTTCTTCGTCGTCGAGTCCCAGGGCCGCTCCCTCGAGGAGGTCGACACCATGTACGTCGAGGGCGTCGTGCCCTGGAAGAGCAAGACGTGGCAGGCTGCCGAGGGCCAGCTTGACGGCAGCGAGCCCTCGGCGGAGAAGGCCGGCTCGAGCGGCGAGCACCTGCGTGTGTAGCTGTGTTGGGGTGGTTGTACGATAGATTTTTTTGTATGAATGAATACGAGTCACGAGTTATGTGTCTGCTTGGGTGCATCTGCCTTGAGTGAATTGACTGACGGAGGATGCGATGTATAATGTCACGAATGATTTCACCCTCACTGGAAGTGGCCATTAATGCAATTCTGACCAGTCTAGCCGATGGAATAGAGAGAAACCGCCAAACTGAGCGAAGAGACTGTCAAAACGGTACCAACCCCCGCCAGTCGCCATACTGTAGACGTCAGAGATGAGTTTCTCAAATCCGTAGACCGTTCACTCACCCGCTCTACCCCAGATCTCGCATGTCAGCCGAGTCACCCGCCTTGACTACAACCGCTCACCGGAGACGCCCACAGCATGCACATGACGTGCCTCGCCAACTACGCATGCACAGCGTCAGCCTCCTCGAGCCTAGATCGCAGACTATGTATCTCTGTGCCCGCTCCCGCGTCCGCAGGCCAATCGGATCCGAAGCGATCGCCACGTCCGGCACAGCTGAACGCTGGCTTGGCTGGCACGCCCCGCCCCTCGCGTGGCGGCCTCTGGGGTTCTGTTCTTAAAACCAATGACGCTTTCGTCTGAGATGGGGCAGTTCTGACATTTCCCGAATTCCGGCGCTTTCGCATCGACAGGCACAGGCCCGATGGAGGTCTGCTCCGTTTTCGACCTGACGACGACGGCGCTGAGCCTCAGCTGGAAAGTCTACCAGTTCTTCCGGGCCGTCCAGGACGCGCCGGCCGAGGTCGGGGCGTATCTCGAGGCCCTCGAGGCGACGCGCACGACGCTGCACGACGTCCAGGAGTATGCCGCGGCGCACGAGCAGTCGTCGTTTGCGCGGGCCGACGGCCTGCAGCTGCGGACGCTGACGGCTGTGCTCAAGGACTGCGAGCTCGCGTTTGGGCTGCAGCTCTCGAGCATGGAGAGCTACCGGACGGGCGACGTCACGTCGCGGTTCGTGAGGCTGCGCAAGGGGGCCGCGTTCGTCTTTGGCCGGGAGTCGATGGCCAAGAATACGGCCAAGCTGCTGATCTGGCGGGACCTGCTCGCCCATGCCATGACGACGTCGATCGGGTATGTTGTCGTGTCTCTATCCATCCCTGACGATGCCGAGCGCTGAGAAGTGGTCCCCCAGGCGCAACACGATTCTGCTCCGGGACCAGCTGCAGCCCATGGGCGCCGACATTCAGGACATGAGCCAGAGGCTGCGGGACGATGAGAAGGAGCGCCAGAAGCTGTTCCAGACGTTTGGCCAGTATCAGAAGGCGCTCGGCTCGGGCATCGCCATGCTGCTCGACTGTGCGCGCAGCGCCGGCATCCGCAACACGACCCGCGTCGAGGATCTGGGCATGCATTTTGCGGAGGATCCGTTCCTGTCGGAAGAGCAGCAGCCTAGCTCGGGCGGAGGCTCAGAAGCGCCCACGGACGGCAGCACGGATGGCTTGGTGATACGGCCAGGAGGAAGCGTCTCTGAGCCGGACACGCCGCAAGATGTGCAAGCAAACGGCGAGTCGCCAAGTGCTGAAGCTTCTTACACGTCAGTGCATCCACCTCTCTGTCAGATCTGTCGCTGACCTCTCCAGCCAAGCACATGCCATCGAGGCTGCGTTCCGCGCCGTGGCCCAGACGGCGAGCCCGAAGCAGGTCGAGATTCTGGACGCCATACGGAATCCAGAAACAGCTCTGAAGATCCTCAACGACAAGCAGCCCTCGACGAGTGCCGCCAAGTCGCGACCGGTCCTGTCTGTCTTCTCCAAGTCCCTCGGCCCCCTGGCCAAATCCGGGTCTGATGTGGCAGCGACAGCATTGGGCAGCATGGACTTTATGCTGAGCATGAGCATGGTTCGTGTTGCCTCTTAACCTCTTCTTCACCAGGTCAAACGCGTTCACTACTAACAGCACCAGAACATCTACGGCGAAGTCGACGCCACGCTGTCCGAGGTCGCCGACGCCGCAGACCTCTGCCGCCGCGAGCTCGCGCTCAACCCGGGCGAGACGCTCTTCCGGCTGACGAGCCAGGTGTACAGCGTCATGTTCAGCATGAGCATCATGTGCTACGAGTTTGTGCTGTCGCGCGCCACGGCCAAGCTGGCCATGCTCCACACGTTCCGGCCCAAGCTGGACGTCAAGCTGGCCGAGCTGCGCCGCGCCTGCGACCGCGTCACGCGCGAGGTCGACTTTCGCCACCGCGTCGAGATGCGGCGGGCCGGCCGGACGGTGGCCGCGCTGCATGTCGAGCAGCAGAAGATGGCGCGCGTGCTGCGCGACCAGAGGGCCATTCTCGAGTCGCTTCGGCAGGAGAGGGCCATGATGGAGGCGGCGCGGGAGCAGCAGCGGATTCTGGAGCTTGTTCAGCAGATTCAGTTTCAGATGCAGGCGGAGCGGGCTGAGCGCTTGATGTCCTCGGCCACGGGTAGCTGTGAGGTCACAACTTGAGGTGCATTCTGTTTTTTTCTGCCTTCTTCCATGAGGACATGAGATGGTGGTGATGGATTTCCAGTATCACCCGTGAGATGAATTATACAGAGCGATGCTGGAGCAAATATGCTTGATTTATTTAGTTCTCGTCTAATATTCAGTTTGTTAACAACTCCAACGTTAACGTCAAGCTGTCATTGACCAAGGTATCATATGGGGCCGAAAGCCTGGACACTGGCGAAATCAACAAGGCATTTCAATCTGGGAACAGCCTGGCTCAAGGCCAGCTACTGAATTCCTTCATGTAGTCGATCACGACGGCCCAGACGCAGCAACACGCTGCAAAATCAACGCATTCAGATATCGAGCCAGGATTTTGCGTTCTGTAAGGCAACACTCAAGAGCACAGTTCTTTCTTTCGTATGCCAACCGTGAGATGCTGACCAGAGATGGCCACCCGAGGCTTGGCGTCGAAGGATTGGCTAGCCGGAAGCTTACGATGGCTTTGTGCGGGGGAGCGAGCTGCTGACCGCGTCATTCCCCTTGCACGTTTTCGGGAATACGAGGCAGCCATTCCCTGTCTTGGAGGCATTGATCGTCCGATACCTTTAAAGAACGACGTCCTGGACCGTCTGGTTCGGAACGGCTCCAAGGTCTCAGCACGGGGAGCCCGACAATACTGAGACGACCCCTCAGCTCATCATGATGCAGTCAGCTTTTTTCGCGGCAGCCATGCTCTCACTGTACGTTTTGCCGTAAAACCAGCATTCATCTCCCAGTCTCACACAGCAGCAGCATGGCCGTCGCCCAGGAGCCGTCGCCGACAACCGGTCCGCCTTTCCCAGGCGTGCTGCCCACGGCCACGCCCCAGTCCGGCTGCCCCGCCGTCACGGAAACGGGCCTCCTCTGCTCGACGTGCGTGGTCCCGGCGTGCATCGATTTCTCGACGGTGACGCAGGTCTGCGGCTGCCCGACGCCTGTCGCGACGGTCTACCTCAACTGGCCCTGCGGCGGCGAGGACGCGTGCGCCGGGGCAGGCTGCACGACTGACTTCCAGGTGGAGGGGCTGTCGGGGGCTTGCGCGTCGACAAGGGGGGACGGAAGCGGCGCGGCGCCTGACACGACGACGGTGTCTGTGACGGTGACGACGGGTGTGCCTGAGATATCCCCTCCTGGAGGCCCGTCAGGGTCGGAGACGACGGGGTTCACGACGCCGCGGCCGAGCTCGAATGGCACGGTGCCGGGGCCGTCGTCTGGCGGGCCATCGTCGGTGGTGGAGAATGCGGCAGGACGGATGAGGGTGCCATTGTTGGGATGGTGGTGATGCTCTCCAGTGTCGGGTGTCGTCGGAGAGGATCAGCATGGACGGCAAGGGTGGTCATCGTGGGACCCGATGGTCATTGGCCTTGCAATTTCTGAACACATGGTATCTCGTGGCCGAGCTTCCAGAAGGCCGAAGGCATGTCAATCTGCGATGGCCTTGCACAACTTGCGATGCCGTCTGATGAATCCAGAGATGATCAGCTGTTCAGTGTCTGAGCTGGATCTAGGACGAGGACACAAGACTTTGAGGGCCCCACAGGGGTCTTGCGGAACGCCGTCGAGATTTTCCGGCGGACGGGGCGCTGGAAGGAGCTCACATAGGTACCTATCTACAGCGGTCGACTGCTGGCAGAGCACTGCTGGGGCCCTGCCGGGGCCCTGCTGGAAGGCAGACCCTCAGCCATGGCCCTTGCGGTGATTCACATGCAATTGGGAAGGAGGGGGATCCAGCGACGGGGATCATTCAGTGAAGAGAATTAATTCAGTGAAGAGAATTTGCGAACTTCGCTTCTCAAGCTTTTCACATGACAACATTGCATCTCTTCCGTTTCCCTATAGGTCTTCGTTTCCTTGTAGGTCGTTCGTTTCCCTGTAGGTCTTGAAGGATACATGATGTACGAACCGCGAGTTGCTTACCTAACACCAGTGGCGGAAAAATCCCCCATCATCATGACGGTGTAAAGCACAGCGAGGTCCAGAGGTCGCCTTTTAGTCGCCTTTTAGTCGCCTTGTAGTCGCCTGACTGGCGGTGCCTTATCGACCAGCCGTGTCCATATCTTGGAATGCGACGCAACTAGAATCCAACGACATGCACATGCACACTTACCCGACCAAACCCTTCCTCTTGTCCTCGATTCACGTCCCCTTCCACACCGACTCGACTCGACTCGCCTCCGACCAACCGACATATAGCCTCTCTCTCTCGACCTGCGGCTGCTCTCCATCATTCTGTCACATATCCCATCCGCTCGATCTCTACCCGACGTTGCTCGTTGACCCATCGCGAGACTGCCCCTCCAACATCGCCAGACCGCCTCGACCTGCTGCGATTCCCCGCCACGATACCACCTTGCCAGAGCATTCCAGCCCTCTGTTTCGCAGTCTCTTGCAGTCTTGCAGTCTTGCAGTCCTTGCAGTCGATCTCGACAATCACATCACTCCATCCGCCCCAATGTCCCGATGGATCCCTCCGACAACATGCTACTCCATCTGAGGAGGAGCAACAGCTCCTCCTCGTCCCTCCACTTCAAGCCCCGCGACCGCAAGCTACGCCTGCTCGTTGCTGCGACGGGCCCCCGAGACATCTCATGGGCGAGCGCCCTCGTCGTCCGCCTCTCCAAAAACCCCGGCATTGAGATGCGCGCCATCGTCGACGACGTCATCCCCCGCCTCAGCCAGACCATCATCGTCATGCATAACCGACCCATGGTCGCCCCCCTCGTCAACGCCGCCGCCGGCACCGGCACAGGCACCGGCACCGGCACCGACGCCGAATCGAAATCAGAAAGGGACGACATTGAATTCTACCGTCAGCAGGCCTTTGGCTTGGTCGAGTGGGCCGACCTCATGGTCCTCGTGCCCATCGACGCCGACAACCTCGCCAAGATGATGGCCGGCATCGCCGATACCCTGCTCCTCGAGGTCCTGCGCGGCTGGGACTCGGCCAAGAAGATCCTGCTCGTGCCCGGCATGAGCACCCACATGTGGGAGAACCCCGTAACGAAACGCCAGATGAGCAAGATCCACCGCAAGTGGCACTGGCTGCGGCCCATGCCCCCCATCCTCTGGCACTACGACGACAACCCCAAGACCCCGAAGCGCATCGTCAACTGGTCCGCCTTCAACGACATCCTCAGCATCATCAAGAACCAGGCCGACCTCATGGGCCTCGGCCGTGACGTCGACGTCGTCTCCCACCTCTCCGGAAACCTCACGGCCTCTCCCAACCGCCCCATCCACTCCAAGCTGCCCCCCGAAATCTGGACCATCATCCTCGACTTTACCCAGGACTGGGAGCTTGCCCAGGGCCCTCGGCGTCTACACCAACGCCGTCATGCCGCACCCCTGGACCCTGACGCCCAAGGACCCCCGCGACCCCATCCAGGTCTACGCCCACGAGCTCGAGTGGCTCGTCCTGACCTGCAACAGCCCCGCCATCTGCAAGAAGCTGCTGCAGTCGCCGCCCGCCCTGCACGACCTGCCGGCCCTCGTCATCAAGCTCATCATCCGCTTCTCCCTCATCGACGTCCTCGCCTGGATGGAGGCCAACCGGCCCGACCTCTTCAAGGCCTTTGACGGCAAGGTCCTGCCGACCAAGGCGTCGGCCTACTACGGCCGCCCCGACGTGCTTGACTACTGGAAGCAGTCGCGCTTCTTCCACCACGGCGCCGCCCGCGCCCCGCGCACCGACGCCTCGGACCTCTACGACGCCTCGGCCCTGGACGGCGCCTCTAAGAACGGCTTCGTCCGCGTCCTCGACTGGTGGTGGCGCCGCTCCGGCCTGCCCCTCGTCTTCACCGAGGCCGCCCTCGAGCAGGCCTCGGGCAAGGGCCACCTGCTCGTGCTCGAGTGGTGGCGCGACGCCGCCGCCCAGGACGACCGCATCGTGCTGCGCCCCGGCAAGTCGCTCCTCTGGGCGGCGCAGCACGGCCAGGCCGCCGTGCTCCGCTGGTGGGTCGCCTCCGGCATCCCCGTCGCCCACGGCGACAGCGTCGCCAAGATGGCGAGCCGCTGGGGCCAGGTCGACGTCCTCGAGCTCTGGCGCCAGCTCAAGGGCGACGACAAGCTCGTCTTTGACGCCGAGGTCCTCGTCCAGCCCACCATCCACCAGCACGTCGACGTCCTCGAGTGGTGGCGCCGCTTCGCCCACGGCGAGCTCGACGCCATGGACGGCCGCCGCCACCGCGTCGAGTACCGCACCTGCGACATTGAGGAGGCCCTCGAGGACAGCATTGGCGACCAGGAAAAGGTCCGCCGCTGGTGGGCCCGCGTCGGCCTCAACCTCGGCCTGCGCAACATTGAGTGGATGAGGACAAAGTGTCTGTGAGGGCACCTTCTGCTCCTCTTCGACTTGAAACAGCCTCATCGAGTTGACATACATTTTACGATTGGGACGGAAAGCGATTTTACTTTGGTTTGTATTCTTTTCTTTTTTTTTTCTTTTTTTTTTCTTTTTTTCCGGATGGATCAAGCATGGCGTTTGGATGGCTGGGAGCAAACTCACGAACACAACAAAAGCTTGACACTTTTTTTTTCTCCTTTCCCTACGAGCATTTGAACTAGAGAGGGAGCGCGCACACAGTTTGTATCGAATAGTAGCAGGCGGGGTCCGGGGATGGGGGGTATATTCCTCATTATGCAGCATACGTTATCCAAAAACCCATTGGTAATTACATCCTTGGCGCATGTGGACATCAATCTGTTTTTCTCTCCTTGCGAAACTTCCGTTTCTCGTGTATCAACGGCCAACTCATATTCACAGAGTCAGCGCCACGCCAAAGACGAGAGCGGCCACGAAGACGAGGCCACTGACGCTGCGCTGCACGGCGTCTGAGGAGGTATTGCCCGAGCCCGATGCGCCTGTCGCCAACGGGGCCTCCGTTGTGGTAGGGGCGCCCAAGGCGCGCGGAGACGACGTGGTCGGCACGGCGACGGGGGTAGGGCGATCGGTGTCGTCATCGTCGTCACCACTCGGGGGTGAAAAGGATGGCCTGGGTGTGGGATCGGGCGACGTGGTAGTGTCGTCGTCTGAGTTATCTCCACTGCCGCCGCCGCCGCCGCCGCCACCGCCGCCACCGCCGCCACCGCCGCCGATGGGGCATCGCCATGAGGAGCCGTCCTGTCGGCAGGTCGCACCGGCATCGCAGTAGAAGCCATCGGATGAGCAGCAGACGGAACCCTCAGGCATGCAACGGTCACCGCACGTCTCCTTGCCCGAGGGACACCCACCATCGCTACCGCCGCCGCCGCCGCCACCGCCGCCGCCACCGCCGCCGCCACCGCCGATGGGGCATCGCCATGAGGAGCCGTCCTGTCGGCAGGTCGCACCGGCATCGCAGTAGTAGCCATCGGATGAGCAGCAGACGGAACCCTCCGGCATGCAACGGTCACCGCACGTCTCCTTGCCCGAGGGACACCCACCATCGCTACCGCCGCCGCCACCGCCACCACCACCACCGCCGGAGCTACCTCCGGAGCAGAAGCCGTCACCTGCGCAGGTGAGACCAGCATCGCAGTACTTGCCGGGCGAGCAGCAGTTCGATCCGACGGGCATGCACCAGAGGGATCCGCACTCCTCTTGTCCAACGGGACATCCGTCATCACCACCACCACCACCGCCGCCGCCGCCACCACCACCGCCTCCTCCTCCGCCTCCGCCACCGGTCGAGCACCTGCCATCACTGGTACACGTTTCGCCGGCGGCGCAGTGGCCGCCGTTGCCGCAGCACACAGCACCCTCAGGCATGCACTGGTTGTCGCCGCAGGGTTCCTGGCCCTCTGTGCAGCCCGAGGGGTCACCGGTACAGATCTTGCCGAGCGGGCAGCAGCCACCCGAGTCGCACGAGGTGCCGATATCGCAGTAGCTGCCGTTTCCCCAGCCGCAGCAGATGCCGGAGAAAGGGGCGCACCACTCGGAGTCACACTCGACGCCGCGGAGGCCGCAGCCGTCTTGGCGCGTGTCGAGGAGGTTCAGGAGTGGGTGAGGCACCGGGTCGCGAGCTGTATTGGCAGAACGCGAGGAGAGGTGAGGAAGGGGGACGGCCAGGGAGAGAACGGTCTTGGAGGACTTGACGGCTGGGGCCTGGCGTTCGGGGAAGGAGAGTGAGGTCGCCCGGGCGAGAGGGAGCAGGAGAAGGGCTGCGAGGGAGAGACGCATGATGGGCGAGACTTTCCCTTTGCTTGGGGGAACTGACTCTGTGTAAAAGGGTAGGTATAACTCAGCCTTTAGCTGGTTCAAGATAGAGGCTCTCGCGATGCCTAGAAAGCGGATGTATGGTCTGAAGATGGAAGCAACCAACGCTGATGGCGCCACTGGGGGCCAAATATCTCTGGAAGAGGGTTCTTGTTTATATATACGCCACGCGAGGCGCCTTCACCTGCAAGTCCTGTTCGAGCCCTTGGGGATCAGCGACCAAAGCCATCACGGCCATCGACCGGACTGGAAGCCAGGCCAGGGCCCGCGACCTCGGACCAGCTGGCAGCCTTGCGGTCCCTGGTCCCTGGTACAAGTCACTTGACAGGTGTGCCTCGGAGGGTATTCAACAGTCCCCCTCGGCACCGCACCAATGGGGTGGCCGTCATGAGGCAGATCCGAGCCCTGCGAGGGCACTGCCTGCACACCCCATCATGGACTTGCAGCTAGAGCTGCAGGCCTGGCTGCAGGCTATTTACCTTCGGTGTCCAGAATCAGGACCTTCTCCCTGGTAGGGATAGGGCGGGGATGAGGTTGGAAGGATGGGCGTGTTAGGCTCGCGGGTCATAAGGGTCCCGGATGATCTCGCTTGTTGATATGCTTGGTTCCACGACAGCCGGTTTTTCTCTGGGCGTTCAAATTTAGTTGCAGTGAACCGGCCAAGAGCGGCGGTCTCCCGCAGGTCCCGGAGCAATCGTTCAAGACGTCGAAGACATCGAACTTGACGTTTTGGAAGAAAGAAAGGGCATAAAAACCAAAGGAATCTCCGCAAGCCTCATCTTCATGGCGGCCTGAAGAAATTTTCTCCCATAATGCGCCGACCTCCACGTTCTTTCGGTTCATGGGTTCATATTAAACTGACGAATGGAAGTCGGTCGTGATGGCACCCCTGGTCCGTCAAGGCGGTCTGCTTATGCCCCAGGCGGCGTAAAGAGGCGCCGTTTGTGCGGGAAAAAGAGGACGAGAGACGCCGCTAAAAACGCCAGCGAGGCCACAGCCAGCGCCACCATCCGACGATGTCTTGTTTGTCACAGGAACCAGGGTCGCCTCGAATCAGAAATGACGGGGTGAGCTGCACAGCGTGGCATCCGTTGGCCGCAACCTCGGCTCGCCTCGTCGTCGCGCATCGGGGATGTGGCCTAGAGTCGTTGGACAGGAGATTTGGCATGCAGCCAAAGGGTTTGAAAGGTCAAGTGAGATTGATGTTGGGGGCGAAGCCATCCACGTTCGTGATGATTCGGCCTACGAAAACACACCGTGAACGCAGAGGTTGCTTACTTCGATGCCTTGTCGAAGCTGTATGCTCATGAGCGCGGGCTGTGCTAGAGGTGGTGGAGTTGGATGTGTTGGCATCGCATTGGGACAGATTTGCAGTCGCTCGACGCTCACCCGTTGCCGCTTTGATCCAGGTCCAAGGTGCCTCGTCTGTATGACCCGCGTGAGCTTCAACCACCACAGCGCGTCCTCAGTAATCGGCCCACCAAGGTTGTGGACGATACTTGCTGACAATAGGAACTGTGGAGACCCGGCCGTGCAGACTACCTCTGAGCGCGTTGACTATTCTGGTTGGCCGATCATGATCAACGGGCGAAGAGCGCCTCAGGGCTGACGGGCTAGCAAGGGTGCAGCATCAGTATGTGAGGCCACAAGTATGTTGTTCGCGGTGGCGGAGAGCACTGCTCGCACAGAATGCCGGGTTTGGGTCCGTGGCAGGATTCAGAGCTGAAAGGGTGGGAGGGGTAGCTTATCTCCACAAAGCTGCACCTGACCGGAAGCTGATGCCGATCCCAGGCTGGTTCGGAGAATGCCTCGCTTGTTGCTGAATGCGCGTGGGAGAAGTACTGTATGTTGCAATCGGTGTTGAGGCAGCAGCGAGTATCTGAGCAGGAGGTCTCGTTTGACCCGGGTCATAGGTAGGCGCTACCAGCGCAAGGCATACTGCGGCTTGTCATACCTTGCCACGGGCCATGCGCTTCAGATTGATAGGAAAACAATAATGATGAGCGAAGTAACACGGATGAAGCAATTAAAATAGAGCAAAGATGAGAGAAGACAGGAAGATGCTATTGAAGAAGTCGCTGCAGAGATGCGGAATCGTGTGTCTCATCTGACGTTTGACGGCAAGAGGAGCCCAGGGAAGCAGGCAGGTATGATTGATACTTCAAATGAGTCCTCCTGCCCCCTCAACCTAAGGTACAGCTTCCTGCCTTGCCATACCTAGGTACCTAAGGTAGGTAGAGTATGATGTCTCAGTCCCAGCATTCAGGCTTGTTCTGATAGATGACTCCTTTCAAACCTTGCAACTTTGCAATCTGAAACAACGGATTACATAGAAACCTTTCTGACAGAACTTGCATCCAGAGAAGACCTTCCCGCGGACGTGATGATATGGAGGTCTTACCTAAGCCATCTCCCCTGCTCTCCACAACATCATATTATGTAATGCATCTGGAGACCCACCACATCAAGGCCTCCCGGCAGAACATCGGTAGACGAAGCTCTGCCAGCTCTGGCCCCATAGCCCCTCCTATTGGTCACTTTCCTCCATGGTAACCTGCCTGTCCAAGCTGCAGCTTCTTCTGCCTTCCCTTGCAGCCTCGCGATCCTTGGTAGGAAAACAACCACCTGTTGAAGCCTCGTCGAGCTTCTTTCATCCTACCACGACCTCGGCCCCCCTCCGCATTCCCAACTCCTCTTAACGCAGAGAGAAGGTGGCCAAATTTCATTCATCGGCCTACCTGCCCCCTTTCTTTGTTCGAAGACCCAATTCTGCGCCAGCTGAATCGGGCTTTCATCAATACCGCGGGGTGCTGCCCGGGACGCGACAAACACGAACAATCTTTCTCTTCACCACCTCCATCTCCCCCTAGGCTCAACGCTGTCGCGACCCTCATGACGGCTCCTTCCAATAAGTAGCGCGAAGAAATGGCAGCAGCTGCTGTAGACACCGGCAGGATAGCTGGCCACCTGGGCCTTGCTGAATCCGCCGTGAACACCATCACCACCGATCCAACGCCGGAGCTCGTCGCATCCTTCCTTCAAGCCTTGGTTGCCAAGGCGGACGAGTTTGATGAAGTATACAATGCCAAGCTCATGCTTGAGGTCGAGTTGGAGAGCGCCCACCGCAACGCCGAAGAGAGATGCCGAAACGCCAAAGCAACCGCCGACAAAGCGCTGAAAGACGTCGAGGAGATCCGTCAGAAACTCCACGAAGAAGGTGCGCGTCTATTGTTTTCAGTTCGTTGGTGGCGGCACCATCGCCCAGACTAACCTTGTGCTTCCCAGAGACCAAACGTCAAAATGTCGAGAACGAGCTGCAATCCCTCAAGTCAAGGGAATCCGACCACGACTCCGAGATCACGACCTTGCGCGATCGCATCGAATCCCTGCAGTCTTCGAACAGGGCTAACATGGCGCTCCTGGAATCACGCAATGCGCGCGATTCTGAGCTGTCCGACGAGCTCGCCAAGCAGCACCAGAAAAACGTTCAGCTCAACAAGGAGATCACATCCCTTCAGACCTCGCTCCAAGCTGCTCAAGCAACCGCCAGCAGCGCCAAATACCGCGAGGACTCTGTTCAGCAACAACTCGATCTCGCCCGGCGCAACAGCGAGTGGTTTGAAAATGAACTCAAGACGAAGAGCGAGGAGGCTTTGAAGTACCGCAAGGAAAAGGGAGCGCGCATCGCCGAATTGCAGCGTCAGAACGAAGACGCCAAGTCCGAGACCGACGCCCTCAAACGAAGCGAACAGCAGCTGCGCGATCGTCTTGATGCTGCGCAGGCCAAGGCCGAAGAGGCCCTCACCAAGCTGCAGCAACAACAGGAAGCTTTCGCGCGCACCGAAGAGAGCTACAAACATGAGCTGGAGAGCAAACAACGCCTCGTCGACATGGCCAACCAGCTAACGAACAACCACAAGACGCGCGTTCAGCAACTCGAGGGCGAGCGCGAAAGCCTCAACCAGAAGCACGTCAATGATATCAAGCGCCTTCAGCAGCAGCTCGAGCAGGAGAAGGAGAACTGTCGTATCCTCGAAGAACGCGTTGGTCAACTCGAGGGAGAGATTGACGAACTACAGGTGCGCATGGAACAAGCGCCCCAGCCTGCATCGGCTCCCTCCGCCCCTTCCACTCCACGCCCCAACGGTTCACTCGCTGTCCGAGCTGCGTCGCCTTTCGCGACCCCGGGCTCCGTCCGCAGCAGGACTGCCATCACGGCCACTCAGGCGATCGAGGAGCTGTACAAGGTGAAGGGACAGCTCGCCGGCGAGAAACGACGGAACCAGCAATTGGCAGAAGAACTCGACAACATGATTGCGGTTCTAGAAGCCAAGACCCCCGAGATTGAGGAACTCCAAGCCGAAACCGATGCTTTGAGGGCTGAGATCACCAAGATGTCACAGCTGTCAGAGCAGAGCTACGAGGAGCGCGATGCCGCCAAGAAGTCGGCTCGCAAGGCTGAGAGCGCCCTCTCTACCACCAAGGCGGAGGCCCAGATTCTCCGCAACCAGCTCCGCGACCTCAGCACCCAGATTCAAATGCTTGTGTTCAACATGCACGCCCGCGAGAAGGGTCTTGAGCAGCTTACCCGAGAGGAAACCCTCAGGCTCGAACAGCTCTCTCGAGGCGAGGTCACCGAGAACGCGCTGTCGGATATGTCCGATACCAACCAATTCATCACCCAAAAGTTTGTTGTATTCAGGGACATACAGGAGCTGCAAGAGAAGAACCAGGAACTACTTCGCGTCACCCGAGATCTTGCCGACAAGATGGAGAACGAAGAAGCTCGTGCGGCAAAGGACCAGGCCGCCCACGACAGCAAGCTTGTGGACGAACTCAAGACGCAGCTCGCCAATCTCATGGACGAACGGCAGTCCCTGCGCACAACGACTGAAAGTTTCAAGACCGAACGCGACATGTTCCGCCGCTTGTTGCAACAGAAGAACGGTTCTGGCGAACTGGAT